CTGAGCCTTGGGCTTGCCGATCAGAAGGTGGGCGGTTCGAATCCCAACGATGGGATGAGCTCCCGTTGCTCGGTCCCTGCTCCTGCCAACCTAGCAGTTCGAAAGCACCTCAAAGTGCAAGTAGATAAATAGGTACCGCTCCGGCGGGAAGGTAAACGTCGTTTCTGTGCACTGCTTTGGTTCACCAGAAGCGGCTTAGTCATGCTGGCCACATGACCCAGAAGCTGTACGCCGGCTCCCTTGGCCAATAAAGCGAGATGAGCGCTGCAACCCCAGAGTCGTCCGCGACTGGATCTAATGGTCAGGGGTCCCTTTACCTTTACCCATGTACTCTCTGAAACCAAAGGGGCACATTGGTTGCTAGATGTGATTTCACCCCCAGCTCTCCTACCCCACTACTTGGCTGGAAAACTATTTGGTGAGTTTCTCTCTCAGATTACTTTGGGGTGCAGTGGATTGGCATATTTTATATTTATATTATATTTTTAAAATTTCTATACCGCTTTATATTTTAAAGAGAAATCTCAAAGCGGTTTACAGCATATTAAATCAATAAAACATAGATAAAACAATCTGAAGAAAGTAGAGTATACAGTCAAAGCAACATAAAATATTAACTTGAAGATTTCAAAATAAAATATTACAAAGGAGGTCAACTACAGAATACATATTTAACATAGTAGGGCTGGTGAGTGTGGGCCTCGCCCCCTAGGCCAGTTGGAAAGGGCCTTGCAGGGAGCAGCCTTCACGCCCCACAGCCGGGTGATGTTCTTTCAGCCTCATGAGGAGCCTCTTCAGTGGGGCTGGTGAATGTGGGCCTCGTGCCCTAGGCCAGGTGGAAAGGGCCTTGCGGGGAGTGACCTTCACGCCCCACAGCCAGGCGATGTTCGTCCAGCCTCATGTAGCACCCTGGGAGATTATGTAGGGGTGCTTCATCCGATCCTTGTCCCACAACATCATTGGTGAAAATACAGTGGTACCTCGGGTTACATACGCTTCAAGTTACATACGCTTCAGGTTACAGATTCTGCTAACCCAGAAATAGTGCTTCAAGGTTAAGAACTTTGCTTCAGGATGAGAACAGAAATTGTGCTCTGGCAGCGCAGTGGCAGCAGGAGACCCCATTAGCTAAGGTGGTGCTTCAGGTTAAGAACAGTTTCAGGTTAAGTACGGACCTCCGGAACGAATTAAGTACTTAACCCGAGGTACCACTGTATTGGACCAAAGGCAGGGCAGAACACCACACTGTGCTGTCGAATTGGGTGGCAGCCAAGTGCGTCCTTTCTAAGAGCTCGTTCCAATCTAAGAGCTTCTAAAGTTATTTAGGAAAATCATGTGTTGCAGCCAGCAGTTCCCTCTGACATACTAACCTGCATCCTAAAGAGTTGGAAGCCCCGGGAGGGCTGTACCACGTGCTCACATTGAGGAAAAACTCCATAAATATACATGAATCGCTATGCATAACTCAAGCTACATAAACGTTACAAAGGAGAGTTGCCTACCAATGGCTTTGCTCGCCTCTGAGAGTAGCTTATTCTCAAAGCATTTATTGTTCTAATACTATTCATAGTTTCTGTGGCATTGGAAGGGATGTTATCGTTCTAATCTAATTCATCTGCACAAAAGCCTTCTAAGGTAAGCAAGACTGAGAAACTGAGACTTATTTACTAAACACCCCCTCTTCCCTCCCCTCACAGGGAGCTTCATGCATGGGTGCAGATTTGAAGTTAGGCCAAATCCCATCCTCTCCATCCCAGAATACTTTAAAGTGCACTCAACATCCACCCCCCCCATGCATTTTAGGAGACAATACATATTTATTTACGTCCTGCCTTTTGCTGTCAGGGCTATCTACAATGTAGTGGGCAGATAAAGGGATATGAAGACTGAATTTGATGTTTGTTTATTAAATTTGTGTCCAACACAAAGGAGTGATATAACTGTAGAGCTGGAAGGGGTCTAAAGGATCATCTAGTCCAACCCCCTTTGATGCAGGAATCTCAGCTAAAGCATCCAAGACAGATGGCCATCCATCCTCTGGTTAAAAACCTCCAAGGAAGGATAGTCCACCACCTCCTGAGGGAGACAGCTCCACTACTGAATATCTCTTAGGGTCAGAATGTTCTTCCTGGTGTTTAGTTGGAATCTCCTTTTTGTAACTTGAATCCATTGGTTCTCCTATGAAGATAGGGACATCCTAAGGGAAAGCAAGACATTCCGGGATCAGATCAGAAACCGGGATGGCTACTGAAAATAGGGTGCTGTTCCTGGGAATTAGGAACACTTGCAGGGTCTGCAAGAAGCTGGTAGTTACACAGGTTTGTGGAAGGATGTGTTAGCGGCCTACCAAGAAGCCAGTGGTTACCCAGGTTTCTGGCTTACACTAAAATAATATTTCGTGATCAAGAGAAGCCAACTGCTGCCGCTTCATTCAAGAGGCTGGGCTCTGACCAAGTGCCGCAGATGTTTCTCTGGAAAGGGCTGAGGTCCTGCTCTTGCCAAAGCTACTGGCAGAATTCCCACTGCGCTAGCCTGGGAAGAGGCTTTTGCCAGTTAATTGGCTGCTTCTTTCTTCTTGCTGCCTAGGGAGGCACCCTTGCAACAGCTGGACGGATTAGGCTAATCTGAGGAATGTCAGCCAGTTAAGTGCCCTGGGGAAATTATGATCAATAGGTCAACTATGAGCAACCTTTCAAAAATGTCTGCTCTTGATAGCACGTCACACAAGCTGCCCTCTGAGCAGGACTCACTCTTCGTGCAATGCCCTAGAATTTCTTGGGGAATTTCTCTGGGGCAGGTTGTCCAGACTGGTGGACCACATGCTTTGCATCCTGGTTCAATCCCTGGCATCTCCAGGAAAGACTGGGAGAGAATCCTGCCTCCGGCCACAGAGAGAGCTGCTTCCAGGTAGCGTCAACAGTTCTGAGCTAGAGGGACCAATGGTCTGTTTGGGTATTATAAGGCAGCTTCCTAAGGTCTTCTGACTGCTCCTGCCTTGCTCTGCAGCCTCAATTGGGATGTGTATTAAGGCAGGGATGGTCAACATGGGGCCTGTGCACACAAGTGCATGAAGAGACCTTCCCTGTTCCATGGGGAGTCCCCAGTCCTCTCTCCCACTGAAATTAGGCTTGAGAAGAAGCATCATCGCCAGGTGTTATGTACAGTACTGAGTTGAATAGGATCCAAAATGCAGCAGTCTGATTGGTCCTAGAACAATAGAATCCAGAATGCAGCAGTCTGATTGGTCCACAGGAGCCATCCAATCCAACTCCAGGTGGAAGTGAATCCACAACCTGATTGGCCTACAGGAGAATCCCAGAATTAGCCAATCACATGGGGCCCATTGTGTAAATAATGTATATAAAGCAGACATTCTGGGGAACTTCCATTCCTCACCACTATGAGCTGAATAAAAAGCATGTAATCCACTCTCGACTCCAAGTATATTTCACCAACAAAATAGGTTGTGACATGTGCTTTGTTGCAGAGTTGTGTGATGCCCACAACAGCTTCTTGGAACCCAAATGGATATCCAGGAACTGCAAGAAAAGCCCTGCTGAATCTGGCCAATGGACCATCTTGTCCAGCATCTTGCTCTCACAGTGGCCAACCTGGCGCCTGTGGGAAACCCGCAAGCAGGACCTGAGCGCAACAGTACTCTGCCCACCTGCGATTCCCAGAAACTGGCATTCAGAGGCATAATACCTTTGACCATGGAGGGAGAACCTAGGCATTGTTACAAGTTGCCATTGACAGCCTTTCCTCCATGAATTGGTCTAATAATCTTTTAAAGTAAGTGGCCAGCACGACAGAGATGGTGCAATGGGATCACACAGTGTCAGAGCTGCAGATTTTGCCAGTTGACATGCACGGGTATCTACCTAGCAGGAGCTCAAGGTGGCAAACATGCAGGGTGCAATGTCTTCCATTTTCTTCTAACCATAAGCTGGGATTTTAGGTTATGCCCCGAGAGAGAGAAAGGGAGAGAGATTGACTAGCTCAGGCCCATCCACACAGTTGCATGGACCCTCCAAATATCTCTATTTTCTGGGGACAGTCCCAGGTTTACAGAAGCCGCCCTGGTTTCTGATTTGATCTCAGAAAGCCCTGCTTTTCCTTAGGATGTCCCTATTTTCATCAGAGAAATGTTGGAGGGTTTGGAGTTATGCGATTCCCCAAGCCAAGGAGATAAGTAACTATACAGCCTTCAGAAGACATCTGAAGGCAGCCCTGTATAGGGAAATGTATAAATGTTAAATGTTTTATTATGTTTTTATATATGTTGGAAGCTGTCCAGAGTGGCTGGAGCAACCCAGTCCGATGGGTGGGGTATAATTCTTATTCTTAGTCATATTCTTAATCTTATTCTTACTCTTGCTTTTATTATGGAATAGGATGTCCCTATTTCCATCAGAAATATTGGAGGGTATAACTGCATGGCAGAGGGAGGGGTTTTTGAACCCGGGTCTCCCTGGTCCCCATCCAATACTCTCTCCACTACTCAATGCGCAGGCATAAGACATAGCCAAATGCAGCCTGATAAGCTCCCACAACCGATGCGACTTCTCTAAAATCGTTTGCGCTCCCCTGGCCTGTGCTCTGCTGGAGGAATGCATATCTAACAGGGGAGGAAAGAGACATTATACAACATGCCATATTGCCTAACACCACAAGGCTTGCCAGACACAGGCTGCACAGCTGGAGCCCAAGGTTGTCCCAGTTCACACTCGCATGGGATGGCCGCCTTGGAGCGCCACCTGATTCTCTGCTCTGACCTCTCCCGGATAGCTCGGCCAGCAATAACAGACCCTGGTTTGAGTCCTGCTGTCTCTGAGATCAGGACAACAGGGCAAAGGATGGGATGGTCTGACCAAGACACTGTCAATCCAGAGACAAGAGTTCTTCCAAGTCGAACAATAGGGGCCTGCTGCAAGGATGTAATCGGCAGAGTTTCCTCCTTTGAATCATGTATGTGTTTGCATGGCCTAACGCATAACAGGGAAGGGCTGCACTCAGTGGTAGAGCATCCGCTTTGCATGCAGAAGGCCCAGGTTTGATCTGTGGTCTCTTTGTTCAGTATAGTAATTTACCGTATTTTTCGCTCTATAACACGCACCGGACCATAACACGCACGTAGTTTTCAGAGGAGTAAAACAAGGGGGGAAAATATTCTAAACGAAACAGTGGATGTATGATTTTTTGTGGTTCATGCTGTGGCCACAGACATGTGATCTGACAGTGAGTTTGGGGTAGCCCAATGCAAAAATGCTGAGGATCCATGTGGATCCGTGCTTTGTAACCACGTTTTAAGTGTGGAGGGAAGGAAAAGCACTCAAGGGACAAGGAGCACGCATGGGGTGTGTGGAGAAGGATGCTGCTAATAATGCTATTTAGCAAGCTGAGTGGGGAGGAGAGAGGGACAGAGAGCCTGCTTGCTTTAAAGGAGCCAACCGGACAGGAGCCGCTTACACTCGTGTAAGCGGCTCCTCTCCTCTCCCGCTTTGCTCCTTTAAAGCAAGCAGGCTCTCTGTCCCTCTCTCCTCCCCGCTCAGCGGCTCTTCTCCCGCTTTGCTGTTTCAAAGCGAGCCACGGAGGAGGGAAGGAAGGGGAACCATGGATCCTCTGCTCACAACTGCAGCAGATCCCCCCTGCCACTCGTAGGCATTCGCTCCATAACACGCACAGACATTTCCCCTTACTTTCTAGGAGGAAAAAAGTGAGTGTTATGGTGCAAAAAATACGGTAATTCACTAAAATTGTAAATGCTTGTATGATCGCTATGTGTTTAAATTTGATTGGCTCGTAACTGAATTCTAGAGAGTTCTCTAGAAGTTCTGGCGTGATTGGCTAATGTCGGTCACATGGGAGGTATCTCGTGAAGGAGAGACTCCATTTTGCGTGAAACGAGATGACTGCATTGTGAACACTGCTAAGTTGAATAGAGTGTTAGAGAGCATCTTCTCTGCTTGGAAGAAGGAAAGCAAAGCTGCAGGAGAAGGTAAAAGTGGAAAACTCTCATAAGAGCTGCAAGGCATAGCCTAAAATGCTGAGCTCTGGAAAGAGAGGAAAATGCAGTTGCTTGGAAGTTAGAAGAAGAGACTGTAAGCCCATGCTCAGAGAAGCATGTGACTGTAAATATTATGTTTTAATTCATGCAGTGCTTTTTTTCTAAAAAAATTTCCTACTCAATGAGGCCAAACTTTAATAATAATAATAATAATAATAATAATAATAAATTATACTCCGCCCATCTGGGCAGCTCCAAGAAAATATTAAAAGTACAATAAAACATCACAGGGCTGCCTTCAGATGTCTTTTAAAAGTCAAATAGTTGTTTATTTCCTTGACATTTGATGGGAGGGTGTTCCACAGGGTGGGCGCCACGACAAAGAAGGCCCTCTGTCTGGTTTAGGGGTACGCGTACCCCTGCATACCCCCATTAAAAAAGCAATAAATTCATCTATAGCTATGTTTCTTCAAGTAAAGTTTTTGAATATTAAAGTCTGGCCACTGGTTTAATTTCCAAAGAAGGGTATCAGTCATATATATGATTTGAGCTTCTCAGCACTGTTTTTGCTACCCTTACTCCAGCCACCTCCAGTTTGGGCTGGGAATGTCCCCTGTCTGAAATCCTGGAGAGTCTCTGCCAGTTAGTGTAGTCAATGCTGAGCTATGTGGATCGGTGGTTTGTCTCAGTAAGACAACTTCCTGTGGTCAGTTCTGCTCTGGAGATTTTCCTGCTGCCTCTGCCATCTGACCCAAGGTTGGTGGCAGCTGGCGTGAAGCCTTTCCTCTTGTGGCATCCTGCTGATGTGGCATCCTCTTTCTAGAAAGCCCATCTCACATTGATGTCCTTTTCATAGCTGTCAACTTACAGATTTGAAAATAAGGGACCAGCAGCCTCGAAAATAAGGGATCAGCAGCCAAAATAAGAGATTTTAGTCAACCAGCAGCCAAATGAAGCCTCAAGTGGTGGTTTCCATAGCGCAGCAACCCAGCAAAGGGGATGCAGCAAGGAAAACCACTGTCACCTCTCTGCTGGGAAGCGCTGAGCAAAGGCGAGTCCCCAGGCAACGCAGCCGATTTGATTGGCACAAGGCATGCAAGCTCCACCTCCCAGTCGTTCTTAGACTCCTTATTGGGTGAGCAACGCAGCCAAGCAACACAGTTGGAGACTTCCTCCTCCCTGGCCGGCAGGGAGGGAGGGACAGGAGCTGCTTCCTTTGAAACCCGGGAAATTTAAGGGACATCATCAATAAGGGACAGCAGCGGGACACGGCCCTGGGATAAGGGACTGTCCTGCCAAATAAGGGACGCTTGACAGCTATGGTCCTTTTAGCCCCACCTGAAGACTTCATTTCCTCACTTGTCGAGCGTTATCATCTGGTTTTATTGCCACTTTTATTCCACTCATTTATTGGTTGTTTTATGGCGCTTTTCAAAATTGCACTTCTTTGTTTGCAAAGTGTTCCAGGGGAAGGTGGCAAGGAAATCTAATCAATTGCTCAATCAATGAAGAGTGTGTGGCACAAGGCAAGGTGCAGGCGATAACTCCTAAGAGAGCTGTAGGCAGTTTGGCACAGACACAACCTTGGTCTAGTTAGGAGGTACCATGTTTCTTTTGTCTGGCCAAACAGGTTCAGCAGGATTGTGCAACGCCACTGAAACCTGAAGATCTTCTCTTATCAGAAGAGATTGTGGGATGAATGTACGCTAGGTTACCTAAAGGAAGAATCATCTGCAGGTGCAAGTGTGCCTTCTATAGTACCCCTGAAAGATCTCAGGAAATATTGTTTAAAAAAACCACGATGTATGAGGGACTGTCTGCTCCATTCCTATTTGCACTTGCTCAGCTTCTTGTACATTGAACATGTGCCCCACTCCTTGAAAGATTCCATCAACAGTGTCTCCGAAATTTTTTACACATCACCTGGGAAGACAGGCGAACTAATGCCAGTGTACTGGAAGAAGATCACCAGTGTGGAAGCAATGATTCTTCAACATCAACTTCGTTGGACTGGTCATGATGTGCAGATGCCTGATTATTGTCTTCCAAAGCAACTACTCTATTCCAAACTTAAAAATGGAAAGCATAATGCTGGTGGTCAACAAAATAGGTTCAAAAACTCTCTCAAGGCAAATCTTAAAAAATGTAGTATAAACACCAGCAATTGGGAAACACTGGCCTGCGAGTGCTCCAATTGGAGAACAGCCTTTACCAAAGGTGTCATGGGCATTGAAGATGCTCGAACTCAGGACAAAAGGGAGAAACGCACTAAGAAGAAGGCATGCTTGGGACACCCTCACAATGGTCAACTACTGCAGGAAACCTATGTCCCCACTGTGGAAGGACGTGTGGATTCAGAACTGGCCTCCACAGTCACTTACGGACTCATTTATGGAAGACAATCTTACTCGGCCATGAGTGATCGCCAAAGAAGAAGACGACATTGAACATGTCCCCCACTCACATTTCAGACAACCACATTGTGAAATCATTGCCTTAAGATGTGGAATCTGTTGTTGTTGTTGTTGTTGTTATAAAAGTTGGGTGCCTCCCCCTCTCTCTGCCAAGCAGTAGCAAGAGCCCATGAAGTTCCAGGCACACACCCAGGGTCTGTGGTCCTTTGGAGAATTGAGACACTGAGGAGACTGTCCTAGCTTTAAGAAATATGATTTTTTCACCTATTTACACCTTCAATCTGTATGGAGGGAGTTCAGATCTTACAGCATGGTCATTTCAGGAGGGGCTTGTTCCCCACAGCAGTACAGTCCAAGGCATCTCTCCCAGCCACCCTGCAGCCAGCCTGCCCTTGATGGACCCCATTCTTTGTTCTCCCTTCTACCCAGAACCCATTCTAAAAACTCTTTCCCCCCCCTGTCAACTCACACTCAGTTTCCCCTGGCAACCTTTAACCCCTTGTCTCTGTTCACACCTCAGGGCGAGGGGGGAGAGCAGGTCTCTTGCACTGCCAATGGCCTTCAATGGCCCTGTATTGTTGCTTAATGGCCTTAGCTTGGCCAGGTCATTTTGCATAGACTAGCCCAGGAATTCATCTGCAACTTCTATTCTCCCATCACATCCCAAATAATCAAAATCCTATCATCTTTTAATTTCTAGGGATTAGGGGGTTCCCCCCCCCAAAAAACTATAACATCATCATCATCATTTATTAGCTACTTGCTGCAAAGGAGACTCTTAAGTGACTTCCAAAAATTACACGTCAAAAGCATATTGTAAAACCAAAAAAGAATGCATTGCAATACAACCACTGCTGTGGCACAGCAAAAAGCAGCAGAACACAGAATATTTTCAGGAAACAGATTATTTATCACCACCGCGTCAAATGCCTGGGGAAAGAGGGAGGTTTTTCCTTAGCACCCAAAGGATGTTAATGATGGGGCCAGGCAGAACACACTAGGGAGAGAGAGCATTCTCTGCCCAGCTACAGATCTTATTTATCAACATGCCTGTGGCTAGGAAGGATGCAGATTCTGTCTCTGTCTGCTGAGATTGGATACTGTTAGTTATTTGTGTGGGCAGCAGCCTAAGGAGGTTGAAGAAATCCTTGCAGTCCGACTGCAGCATAGGGCAGCTCAGACTACAACTCCCATCAGCTCCAAGCAGTACTCCTGGTGCAAGCCCGCCCTTGTCCACTCGCCATTAGCTTGTTAAAGATTAACCCCGAGAAAGATCAGAGTCCAGGGAAGACAGATTCAAGACCGAGGACTGTATGCCAGGGTCACAAAATGCACGATCCCCTTTCATGCTAAATTACCATCCTCTTGCCTTTAAGGAGCACAACGGAGGCAGGTTTGCATTAAGGCAAATAGGCTCCGTCCCAGCAACCTTAGCCAGCCGGCAGCTGCTTGCCTTCTTATTTAGAAACAGTCCGGCGGCTGGCACTGCCTGTTGCCTTCCTCCTCTGTTGCCTTCCTCCCCGTCTACAATAACACAACTACCTAGGAGGTCCTTAGCACCCAGTTTAAAACTGAAATGTGAAACCTCTCGCCAGGGAGTTTCACTCAGTGCCTACAGTAGACACCTTTGGGTGCCAGGTGAAAACGGTCC